ACAGAAACATCCACATGGGACCCTTAATAGAACACCAGCTTCAGTCTTTGCCCAGCTTGGCTATTGCGGGCATTTGGTAATGGGTCAATGTATGGGAGCATTTTCCCTCTCTTTCTCTATTGCAAATAATCTAAAACTAATTCAGTTAGTTCCGTTTCAGACAGGTGCTGTGCAGAAAGGTACTGGAAGTCAGCATGGTAGCTTAAAAGGTTAATCCTCTGCCTTGGAGCCCTGGCATCCCCTACTGGCACAGGTTCTAGTCCCAAATACTCCATTTTCAATCCAGCTCTCTGCTTATGGCCTGGGAAAGCAGCACAAGATGTTTCAAATCCATGGGAAACCCGCAAGAAGCTCCTGGCTCCTAGCTTGAGATCAGCTCAGCTTTGGCCACAGCCATTTGGGGAGTGAACCAGTGGATGGAAGAGCCTCTCTGTCCTTCTCTCTGTAAATCTGCCTTTCAAGTAAAAATAAATAAATAAATCTTTAAAAACAAAAAGAGGGAGGATCCTATTTCTCTGCGTAGGTAAGACTGGGAGACTTACATGGAAGCATGGCTCAATGTGGGAAAACACCTTCCACTGCCATCACACACAGTTTCACATCTATTGCCTCATCCATCTACTGCTTAAAGGGGTCTAGGAAAATCCAAGGCAAATTTATACCCAAAAATGCAGATGATAAAGGGAAGCGCAGAATGCTACACCATGGAGAGGGCAAACAGGATTTGGTGGAACCTCCTCTGAGCAGGCTCCCTGTGTGCAGCAGAACAGGTGCCCGCATGTGACAGTCATCTGAAAGGTCAAGTGAAAGAGCCTCACAGGTCTCTCCACTTTTGCCTTGAACATCCTACTCCATGAATTTTCTCTTCTTCTGTCTCCTGGGGATATGCATGCTCCAAATCCAGACCCCCAAAATACCTTCCCATCAAGAACTTTCTGATATCCCCTTTCCCATGCCCTTCCTTGGATCAGCCGTGTGGTAGAGACCTGCTCAACCCATTGTCAGGAGCCAACAGCACTTGAGGAAGAGGGGAGCCAGCACCAAAGCAAATGGAGACCCACACACTGGTCACCAGAATGCTGTTCTCCACTCTCAGCCCCTCAAGGGGCTCCCACATTTCCCTGACCCATTCTCACGAGCCTCTAGTATCAGCCTGAACCAAACCCAGCTGACAAAATGAGCCTTCTGCAAAAGCCCAAAACCCACACCACACCATACCACTCTGCTGTCTAAAGCCTGCTTGAGGGCATTTGGCCTAAAGATGAAGTCACCTATTGGAACACCTGTTGGGACACCTGCATTGCACATCTAAGAGTGTGGCTTCCATACCTGCCTCCAGTCCCTAACTCAGGCTTCCTGTCCATTGTAACCCATTAATGCAATTCAGCTCCAGCAAAGAGGTTCCTGCCACCCCCATGGAAGATGTGGATTGAGCCACAGGTTCCTGGCTTCAGTCTTGGCCAGCACTGATTCTGAGGAACTACTGGGTGGGAGTTCTCTAGCTGTCTCTGGGTGTTGACTGTCTATTTCTCCAATAAAAATTTGAAAATTAGTATCTCACATCTCTATCTCTGTCCTAGATGACACATGAATTCCCCTATTGCTTTCAGTGCACACTGCATCGTGTTACACATGCGTGATAGAGCTGGAACTCGAAAGCCAACCCTAGAGCAGAAGAGAGGCAAATCCCAAGTCAAAGAGAAGCTTCTTCAGAATGTCCTGCTTTTCTGGGGCATTCACACAGTAGGGCAGCTCTCACTGAAGGGAAACCCAAGCTCTGGTTTCCATGAACTCCCGTCATGCTTTGATCAGGAGATCCAAGCCGAACTGTGGAGTCCCATTGATTAGACCTGAAGACATTGCCTGGGAGGGGCCTCCGTGGAGCTGGAGTCTTTCCTAGGGCACTCAGACAACTTCAAAAATGTGACTCCAGACACAGCACATGTGCTTTCAACCCTATCCCGTCAAAGATGTGGCCTCCCACCCACCTCCTGAGCCCAGAGGCTGCCTCAGGCTGGGGAAACGATCTAGCCCCACACTCAGCCCTCAGTAAACTGGGCCAAGGGGGTGGGCAGTAAGCTCTCCTCAGCCCCCAGCCTCCAGACTCCCACTTCACTCCCTCACCCGGGGACTTGTGCTACTTCCTGTCGCTGAAAGTCCAGAGGACAGGGCGCATGAAGAAGGAAGGAGGGAGTGAGAATAGGGATGGCTGGGAATTCATGACAAAGACTCCTATCACTGACCTACTTGTGAGGACACCAGCCATCATCCTGTCCAACCAACCCTTGTTGATTTAGCAGGTGCCAGGCTCCCGGAAGAAGCAGAGGAGGGTGCAGAAAGCACACCCCTCCAAGCTTGACTCCCATTGGCTGGTGAAAGCCTTAAAACGGCCGGCAACACCAGAACCAGTAGTCTGCAGACCCTGCACAGATTCTGTGGGCCATCTCAACCTCAACTCAAACATGAAACTCATCGCTCTCCTGTTCCTGACAACCCTGGCAGGGGTGCTGGTCTCTGCCCGTGAGTATGGCCCCTCTCCTAAACCCAGCCGCAGTGTCCTGGTGTCCTTGCGGTCCAGGGAGCCCCAGCTCCTGTCTTCAGCGCTCTCCTTCTCTCCCAGGGCCGTCCCGGGTTTCCCACCTCTGCACGCGATTCTGGCACCCAGTTCTCCAATAGATGGCCCCTTGGGCAGAGAGAAACAGGAGTTCCTGGTCCCGGCCTGCTCCTCACCCTTCCTCAATTCCCTGCTCTAACCACTCTCTTCTTGAGATGCCCCTGCACCATAGCGTGCAACTGGACAAAGTCCCCCTCCTGGCACCAGCGTCCCAGGCAGAAGCAGGGAGAGCTAGCACACTGCCCTTCTCCGACTCACCAAGCAACTTGCCCCGGCCTATGGCTGGTGACCGAATGGCATCAAGAGCAGCATTTGGCTCAGGAAGTGCCCTGTGGCTCCTTGAACACCTCAGCCTTCCTTCTGGTTCCCGTCCTTCCCCCAACCTACTCTGAGGGACACCTAGCCACTGATTTCTCTCCCGTCCCCTCCCATTCCTCATCTACTAAGACTCGTTTCTAAAGAAGCCTTCCAGGAGTCCGTTCAGATGCCATCTGCCCTTACCTTACTCTTTTGTGCAGCTTCTGCCTCACGCCACTAATTGCTTCCTGAGGCAGAGGACTCCCGGCGGCTTCTCCAGCCCCGGGGCTTCCACTCACCTCCCGCCCCCAGCCAGCTCTGCACATGCGCAGTGTTGACCGCCTACCCGGAAGCAGTAACCCAGGCTCAGTGCAGTCCTTCCCTCCGCCCACCAGCCAGAGCCCCTCTGACCTCTGCCTGCCCTTGACAGGAACTTCAGGGAACCCTGTCAGATGTCCCAGGCGAGGGGCTGGGCCGTGAGGAGGAGAAGGTGTTGGCACAGCCTGCGGAAGGGCGGCTCCAGCCACCCGGCGCTGCACTGCACGCTCCACAATCGGCCCTCAGAGCTGGCGGGGACTTAGGAGGGAAGATGGTCGGTGGGCTGGGGGTCGTCCTCGTTCTCATCTTGCTTTGTGCTTCCTCTCATGCAGAAAACACCACGGACGCTCCTGCTGAGACCAGTAAGTCCTCCCCATCCCGTCCCTGCCCACTGGGAGGGGGTTCCATAACTGGGGACAGGAGTGGAAGCTGGGGGAAGCTGTGAGGAGGGATAGGCATGGAGGCTCCCACAGAGCACACTGAAGAATGGAGCAGGTAGGCCAGCATTGCGAGGCAGTGGTAGATCCTGCTGCCAGGAAACCAGAATCTCACCTCAGAACACGGGTTCCAGTCCTGGCTGTTCCACTTCCCATCCAGCCCCTTGCTGATGTGCCTGGGAAAGCAACAGAGGGTAGCCCAAGTACTTGGGGTCCTGTCACCCACCCATGTGGGAGACCCGGATGAAGTTCTGGGGTCCTATCATTGACCAGGACCAACTCCAGCCATTGCAGTCATTGGGGAGTGAACCTGCAGATGAAAGATCTCTCTCTCTCTCTCTGTCTTTCCAACCCCTCCATTCTCTCTGGCAATCAAATATATAAGTTAAGAGAGAGAGAGAGAAGCAGAGAAACATAAGGTGAAATAGGACCAGGAAAACAACAGCCCCAAGAGGTATGAATCCCTCATGGGCCAACTCCTCTCTTAGAAACTCGCCATCGCTTGATCCAGAGACCCCATCCCACATCAGACCTCATTTCCCAGCTCTATTTTCCATGAAGCCTCTTCATGTCCCACCACACCTGCCTCGCCCAAACCTCTTGCTGACTCACTCTCCACCCCCGGGACACACCCTGAGGACCCCTCCCCTTCATGCCCTCTACACTCAGCCTCCCTGATTCTCAGCATAGCCCGGCCCCACCCCAACACTGCCAAGAGTTGTGTGTCCTGTAAAGATCTCCCTGAGAAGGGCAAGGTCTATGCCATGTCCCTTCAGCGTCCTGACCTCTAGCACATCTTAGGTGTCCTAGGGCTCAGCCACTCATTCTAAAGGAGAAGACAGAATGCTTTGCTAATCATAAATGTGTGTTTGCAGCTGCCGCAGAGACCACCGCAGCTGCCGCAACAACTGCCGCACCAACCACCACAGCCGCCGCGGCAACCACAACAAGGTCTAGCCTGCTGAGTAAGTCTCTGTGTCAAGCCCAGATCAGCAGCCTAAGGGTTTCTCGGGTTGTAGGCCATGGGACACTTCCACCTCTACCCGCAGACTAGCCCAGGAGGGGCCAGACATTCTCATCCACTTGAGCACAAAGGCTCATTCATGCCTGGGGCATGGAGGGTTAAGCCGCTGCCTATAGTGCTGGCAGCCCATCTGAGTTGCCTGTTCAGCCCAACCCAGCCCCAGTCCTAGGACCCATTTAGGGAGTGAATCAGCAAACGGAAGCTCTTTCTGTATTTCCATTCCTATCTCTTTCTCTCCCTTACTCTATGTAACTCTGTGTTTCAAATAAATAAGTAAACTCTGCAGCATGTGTGCGCCCATGCGCACACACACACAGTTCACGGGTTTCTGAAACTGTTGGATTTATTTCCTGCACTGTCTGTGCTTGCTGTCCCAACCCATGCACCTTCCTATGAGAGACTGAGTCTCTCAGCAAAACAGCCTTTAACTTAAAGAAACTATAGATGAATCAGGTCTGGAAGGGATTTCTTTTCAGGTCTGGGAGGGAGTTGGGTTTTGTTTGTTTGTCTGTTTGTTTCAAATGATGTGCCTTTCCACTAATATGGTTGTTCTACTCCCCAAACAGAAAAGTTTCTGGACAAGATACCAAAATTCCCTGGATTCTCTTGAAGGTGGGGAGAATCTAACTGCAGGTGAGTGCATCTTAAGGCACAGTTTGGTGGGAAAAGAGTTGAGGAGGTGGAACAAGACTTATGCCCACCCCACAGGCATACGGCCACACATGGGGCACGACCCCATCTGCCCTGGGGGCTTTCCTCTCTTTGTGTTCTCAAACAATTCCAATTTCTGATCCACATTCAAATTGCCATTGGAGTCTAACATTAGACCAGTTCTCCTTGGAGTCTAACCCCAACCTTCTCACTGTGGAGCCTGCTTCTTCGCAGCCCTCTGGTCCCCTGCCAAGGTGGGGTGAGGAGAGGATTACAGTGACTCAAACTGCCACTGTTCTGCTCTGTTTCCCGGGAGTGTGGGCAGCTTAAGATGGAGCCAGAGGATGGAAGGGCGGAGCCGGTGCCTGGGACTCTCTTCATCTTTGGCTTTCCTTCTAGGTAGAATTTCCCCCATGGGAAAAACTGCAGCCATCATCGAACTCAAAGCCTTGGCCACCCTTCTGGCCCCGAGCCATTAAAGTTAAAGCATCTAATTCACTGTGTGCAGCAGTTTCTGTGGGTTGGGCCCTTGTGGGAGGTGGGAGAGGAGCCCTAGCGGGAGGTCCAGGAGGCACAGAGTGTTCCCGGCTCAGTCCCTTGGGCAGTCAGATGCCTGCCATTCATCCCCAGCCACATCCACACCTCCCTGTAGTGCAAACGGCACTCTAGCTGGGGTCAGCCTCCTGATTCTTCCTGCGAGACTCCCAGTGACATTTGAGCATTTCGCTCAGATGACATCAGCCCCCAAAGAATGGAGGTGCAGCATCCTGAACATAAGCCAAGACTAGACGACTGCTACTACAGGCACTTTCTGGTGCTTTTAGTAGAAGCGCATCCCTCTTTTCTTGTAAGTTCTGCCAGAGTGTGTGGCAGTGACTAAAGCAGTGAGATAGTAAGCACTGAGCCACCGCAGTGATAACCCGTACATGAAAATCATCACCCGTGTGGCACCTGAACATCACTTACCCCATGCTTGAGATGTGTGTGCATTATCTTCCCCCAAATACCTAAAATATCCCTGAGGGGTCTTGGGAACTCTCCACCCCTGCACCTATTTTCTTGAATCTGAGGACCACACCTGGCACCCAGGTGACAAGAGAAAATCATCTATTCTCCCACCTGCCGAGCCAGCCAGACACACAGACTGTCTGTGTCCACACCCTGAGGGTCTAATTCCCCTCACCCCATCCAGTCCACTCCTGTGACACTCCTGTGATGTCAGAGATGGGAGGAGCTCTCATTGGTCCGTTTTAAATGGAGAATCGCATCTCCCTTCTCACCTCTCACCACCTCCACACACACACCCTCCATTTCTGCCAACAGTGCCAAGGGGATGAAGGGGGATCTCCAGGGACAGACCTCCTCCGTCAGAGCTGAATGAACACAGCATTTCCCACCTGAGTAGACTGTCACCCTGTCAGAGATCAAATCTCGTCCTCTAAAAAGATATGTTGAGGTCTTGATCCCTTCCCCCCACAACTCCCCTGTACCAGAACATGCTACCTGCTTCCTTCTAAGGAGAAGGCAATGCCTTGACCCCATAGAGTGTGATCAGGAGTCCCTTCCCTGCCTCCTGCCTAAATATCCCAGTGTTAGGAGGGAAAAGGATGGAAGGGATTTTCCAAAAAAAGTAACAACTAGAGAAGGCTCAGACCAGGAAGTAAGGGATGTCTCCATGCATCCACACCTGTGCTGCAATCCAGCGAGGATGGTGGTGATGGGGTTCAAAATGAACAGAATGCACAGGTAAGTCAAGTTGGGAGGGTCTCCTCTCACTAACGTCGGCACAGGTACATTCATTGACCTCCAGGTTTTTGCCTCACGCAGTCTGTGAGACACAATATTTACACAAGCACACAAATAGGGACAGGAGTTCTGTGACAATTAGCGTTGAAAAATTACGTTCACACATGTTTGGAGGCTGCCCCACATGGGGAGGGAAATGCCCATCAAGGGTGGACAGTGGGCCCCAGGGGAGAGGATTGCCTGAAGGATGAAGGGGTGGGTGAGGGGAGTGTGTGTGTGTGTGTGTGTGTGTGAAAGAGAGAGAGAGAGAGAGCAGTTGTAGCACCTCCAGGCATGGTCCATGGTGAAACAGAGACAGAAAGAAGCTTGGGCCATCTCCCTTCTACACGTTGGTGACACTGAGTGCACCGGAAAGGCGACAAAGTCTGAGGGAAACAGCTTCCCCTGTTTGAGTGCTCATTAAAGCTCTCAGCCCAGGAGCAAGAGTCAGACTGGCAAAGCAGGGAGGAGACACAGGAGGCGGACAGCGCCCCCTGGTGGTGTGGCCGATGGCTCTCGCGTGTCATTTCCTCGCCAGAGGGTGGAAGGTGCTGAACCTTCAGGCACCTGCGAATTCCGACATGCCAGATAGAAGGCTGAGTGAGCATCGTCCTCCTGTCTCCAGACTTCATGAAACGCCCAAACGCACTTGGACCATGAAAAAGCAGGCTTACTTCTGGGCTGGTGGTTGTTTTGACATTCCAATGTGGATGGTTTTCTTCATAAATGATATTCAAACTTATGGGAAAAACCAACACTCAGTAACGTGCTTCCAGATAGAAGAAACAGGAATATAGATATCATAACTTCTTAGTCTGAAACCAATTGAATTGAGAGTGAGAAAAAAAATGAATGTCACAGAATTATGACTGTTTATGAACTATACTATTGTAGAGTTCTATTATAGAGGAAATCAATATGGGGGAGGGCTTGGGGAGGAGTTAAGGAAAATCCCAGAACCAATGGAACTGTGTCATAAAATAAAATAATAATTTTTAAAAAATGAATGCCAGGTATGTAACTTCTATCTTGGATGAAAATAGAAAGTACTTCTCATCCCAAATACCACTTATAAAAAAACAAATGTGCCAAACCCAGGGACACTAGAACCAAATGGTAGGAGGAGGCTGGCGCCACTGCCCATCGTGACAGCTCGTGGGCATCACCGGCCCAGCACATCCTTCTGTGAGTACCTCCTATGTCTAAGGAGCAACAACAAGAAAGCTTTGTCTGCAGACAGATGTGCTAATGTGCAATGATGTGCCTGAAAAAGAGGCCCCAACATGTGGAATCAAATAATATAACAGGAGGAGAATAAAAGAAAGCTTGGCCCTGGCTAAGGGGCAGGAGGAGTGGGGAGTTGGGCAACGGGGACAGAGTTGTGATTTTGTAGACAGGTGGACACAGCATTGTGAACATGCCTGACACTGCTGAGTCATACATCTGAAAATGGCAAAGCTGGTCATTTCTGTCATGTGTGTTTTACCAAAATTAAACATTTCAATCCAAATTTTTAAACATCTTCAATCTAGAGATTGAAAAACAAAAACTGATTCCAAATACCAGTTTGAAAACTGGCCTAAGGAAGTTCCTTAAGCTTCAAAGATGAAGACAGAACAGCCTGAGTTTCTAGGCAACACCATCAAGGGAGCAGGCTGCCTCAAGACTGCAACTCCAGAAGACAGTGGGGAGAGCCCAGCATTTAGTTAAATCTCCACATGTCACACCAGCATCTCCTGTGGGCAGCAGTTCAAGTCCTAGCTGATCCATTTCCCATCTGGCTCCCTGTGAACGTGCCTGGGCAAAGCCACAAAGATGGGCCAAGTCCTTTAGGCCCCTGCCACCCACAGGGGAGACACAGCTGAAGTTCCTGATTCCTGGTTTTACCCAGAGTGTTGCAGCTATTCGGGGAGTGAACCAGCAGCTGGAAGACTCTCTCCTGTCTCTCTCTCTCCCTGTCTCTGTCATTCTGCCTTTCAAATAAGTAAATACATGAATCTCAAAAAAGCAGGCAGTGGAGCAAGTCCCCCAGAGTCCCCTGGGAGGAGAGCCGTGCTGTCTCAGCACTGGTACTCAGATACTTCACCAGGCGGACAAGGCAGATGTTCAAGTATACAACAATTGAGAGAATTACATTTTTAGGATTCATTCTCAACAAACAACAGCAAACCAGCACAGGCATGACAGAGCTGAAACTGCTATGGAGTGATTATGGTTACAGAGGAAACGTTATAAAGCATGAGGATATTTTTTTTAATCCCAAGAAGAAGGAAGAGAAAGAGGAAGTTAAAAAGGAGGCACACCTATACAACTTGCAAGGTTAAAGAACCATTTTTCTTTTTATAGTTTTTTTATTTATTTGAAGAACAGAGCAACAGGAAGAAAGGAAGAAACAAGATAGACAAGGATCTTTCATTCTTCCACTGGTTCTTCCCAAATGGTCCCAACAACCAGCTCTGGTCAAGCCAAATGATGGGGACTCCAGCTGGGTCACTCATCTGAGCGACAGTGGCCCAAGTACTTGGCTTATCACCTGCAGCCTTCCCAGGCACGTGAGCTGAATCAGGAAGAGGAGCATCAGCGATATGAACCGTCTCTCCAATGTGAGATGGCAGCAGGTTCAAGCTGCAGCTTCATCTGTGGTGCCAGACCCTCAAAAAGATTTTTAGTTTTACCTGCTAAATCAAACAATAGGCATATGAAGATCAAGAACTGATAATATGGGTAGGTATTTAGCCCAGCAGTTAAAATGCTCATGTCCCATATCAGAGTATGCAGATTCAATTCCTGGCTCCAGCTTCCTGCTACCACATGAAGGGCCTAGAAGGAGTTCCCAGCTCCCAGATCCTAGCTCCCAGCTTTCATCCTAGACCAGCCCCATCACTGCAGGTATTTGGAGAGTGAACCAATGAATGAGAATTCTGTCTCCCCTCCCTCCTCCTCCTCCTCCTCTCTCTCTTTCTGTCCTCTCTTCTCAAATTTATTTTACTTTTAAAGACTTAATTATTACAATAATTATATTATATGTTTTATTATATATACTGATGATTATAACCCATGAATATCAGATGGCAAAAAGGAGGAGAAAATGGAGAAATATGCTTTTTGTCATTACTAACAAAGAAAACCAACTCTAAATACATAAATAATTAAATGCACCATTTGAATTTACAGAAATATATATAATCAATGAAACTATAACCGAAATATAAATATTTCAGATTTTTCCAGAAAAACATATACAAAAGGAGAAACACAATAATAAGGCATTGCTAAAAAGGAAGGATAAAATTGAGATAATATTAACACTAAACACACCTTTCATGTGAATAAAAAAAAAAGTAGCACAAACGTGTGTTTTGAAAGCAAGAGATTCTTAGATTGGGTCATAAAGCAAAAGCCAACCATAAAAAATGAATTAGAAGATACATAAAGTACACAGTAAGTGCATCATCTTCCTGCCTGCCTTCCTCTATCGCTGCCTTCCTTCCTCAGTAAAGCTTACCAGGGTAGGCATCTGCATAGTCGGGGCGGGGTGGGGGGGGTGGGTTACAGGAAAGCTGGTGCACGCCAGGTATTGGGGGCTGGAGAAGAGGAGGCTGCGTGCCAGGAGGTGACGGGAGAGCTGTGCTAGCGTGAAAGCCTAGATAGGATGCAGAGAGAGAGCTGGTGCAGGGCGATGGAGTCTCCGTGCTACAGAGTGACTGAG